TCCAAGAAAGATTATGTGACTGGTTCAAGAAAGATAAAGTAACAGGTCCAAGCAAAGATATATGACAGGTCCAAGCAAGGATATGTGACAGGTTCAAACAAAGGATATGTGACAGATTCAAGAAGGATTATGTGACAGGTCTAAGTAAGGATATGTGACAAGTCCAAGGACAGACCAAATTTTATGATACTCCATTAAATTTAATTCAAATTTAATCAAATTCATATTTTTAACTCAAAGCTGACATTTTTTCCAATTTTAGATGGATCTGTCTGTAGAAATTACTGTTTTTCCTGGAATAGTGTAAAAAACACACCAAGAAACGTAATTACCCATTTATGACAGTTTATTAAATCTGACAGCTAAAGCAAATTTAAAGTAACAATAATCTAAACTATTATATTATGGGACTAAGTGTTTTTGTTTTGTTTTTTTTTTAAATTCATAAAAAATTTAGTGTGTGAAATGAGCAAGGGTCTCTCTTTGTGTCCTGTACAAGTTAGAAAGGAAATTTTCACTGTTTTTCCCTTGTCATGCAATGTACCGGTATGTTGCACAAATAATTATACAATACTAACTCTTGATGTTAAAGCAGCATGCCTCCAGATTCATTATAATTTTCATGATAATTTTGAAAATGTATTTGAAAGTAAAATATTGTTAAGCGAACAAGGAAAATAATTTACATAATTGCAAATGACAGTAACAACCCATGTAAATTACCAAAAACAAAGGTCAAAATATGCAAAAATAGCCCTTACTGCATAAGTAACCAAGTAGAAACATTGTGGTAAATATTGCAAAATTAGTCATTAATTGGACATAACATATTAAATATTACTTGAATATTCAACCTTTTTAAAAAATTTCTAAAATCTTAGTACATTTTCTTAAAGTTTAAACGTCTTGAAATATTTTGACCCATCTGAAGGCATGTAGCTTTAAAAGTTATATTTTACATTGTCAATTTTAAAGACAGAAGAAGAAAAAATTTAGGGAGGGGAATGGATTGGAAATAATTGGCCAAATTTCGGTACCAAAATGTGTTAATTGAGATAACCTAGAATCTATGATTAAGTTCCCAAAATAACATCTAAAACTTTAAGTAAAGACCTGAATTATTTTATTGTAACATAACAGCTTATATAAAACCCTATAATAGATCACTTATCAACAATCCTACAAGTCAAAATAAAGCATTTTCCAATGATATGAATTACCTTATTGTTTTAGTTTTTCATGTCTAAAACCTGTTGTGCAATAATTCATTCTCTATACTCTAAGAAACATTACAATAATGTGGGTGCATCAAGAACAAAGTAATTCTGCAGTCTCAGTTAATTGCTTTCTTGCAAGAGATATGCCATGCCACTCATAACTGTCTACCAACTTGTATTCATCATAATTAACGAGGTAGAAATTTGCAAAAGGGTTTTATGGATATAAACATTTTGGGATTTTTCAATAAATGAAGTAATACATCAAATGCATAAGCAATGTATTATAGGAGACAGTAATCTATACATCATCTATTAGATTTTCACTACTTGCAAATTAAAAATAAATGAAATACTTTTAAAATGTCAAACAAATATTCAGGTAGTTTTCCTTATTGATCAAAGAGATAATGATCAGCTAAGAGAACTTTTAATTGCTCAATATTTAAAAATAAATGCCAATGCCATTGTATGGTTAGGAAATAGATATGAGCCGCGTCACGACAAAACCAACATAGTGCGTTTGCGACCAGCATGGATCCAGTCTAATCAGGATCCATGCTGTTCACTTACAAACTCTATTACAAGTTGTGAAACTTATAGCGAACAGCATGGATCCTCATCAGACTGTGCGGATGCGCAGGCTGGTCTGGATCCATGCTGGTAGCAAACGCACTATGTTGGTTTTATCGTGACGCTGCTCATATCACTTTTAAGCCTGTTGTTGTAGAATAATGCACAGTTCTCATTCAAATGTGTACTAATATAATCATGAAGGCCGATATGCCTAAGTGATCAATTACAAAGCATTTGAACCATAAATCTGGCATTGTTATTCTATAATGCAAGAAAAGTTTATATGTATTCCATTTTTTAACATGCTAATATAAAAGAGAATTGGTAAAAATATGATAATTACATAGAGTATAGAAGTAATTATCAGTTATCTGACATCATATGACGTGTAAATACCTTTTTTATGCTGTGCAGTGCAATTATACACTCGACTGTCTGGTCTGTTTCATATTGGGGAATAATTATATGAAGTGTGTGAGAATTAATTATTTAATATAAAGTGTAAGTATGAAGGCTTCATGTTATAATTTATAGCGTCAATATGAATACTTTTTTACATATAGTATAAGTATAAAAACTCTTACTGTTATAGTATAAGTATATAGGCTTTACCATTATAAGCAAAAAAAAAACTCTCATTAAATAGTATAAGTATGAAGGCTTTAGGCTATATAATTCAAGAGGTATCTACCGGATATAGTATAATGAAGGTTTTAGGTAGTACATGCAAATCACTATTTTATATTTCATATTACTTATCAATCAACTTAAGTACAGTTTTTTCAATAGCAGCCAATGGTAAAGGATATAAAGTGATAACAAAATTGCATCAACAGACATACAGACAGTTATAGGCTGACAAAATACTAATAATTAGATAGACAACAGACAGACAAACTGATAGACAAACTGGTTCATGCAAATAATTTTTTTCACAAAAAATGTAAAGGTCAAGCTTTTTTCACATTTTCTTTTAGTATTAGAGACAAACTTTCACTACTCATATTTCTGCTATATTTATTGTTTATTTAATAGACTTGAGAATGTGAGAATTTTATGACCGGATATTAGTCTTTTGGTTTCAAATAATGTCATAACGACAATTCATAGCCTGTTTTAGACAACTGATTGAAGTTTTTGATTATCACATCATGTTAATAAAGCTACTGACATTTTCAAATATATTAGCAGTTTCATTAAATTGAAGGTCAAAGTCCTAATTGATTCAAAATTACATCAATTTCAAACAAGAAAGAACGCAATGTGTCTCAACAATCAGTTTTTTAAAATTCATGTTTAACAGAAGCATCGTCATCAAGAGTTTTACCGCATATTGTCAGCATTTATTGCATATTGTCAGCATTTTGTACTGCGAACATTTCGAGAGGAATTATGCCCTTTTAATTTTTTTACATGTATAATAGGGGCATGGTGGCAGTGTGGTTAAGGTTGGTGACTTCAAGTCACATGCCCCTCAAGGCTGTGGGTTCGAATCCTGACAGGGACTTTGGATTCCTTCATGTAAAGAAGCTATCCAGCTAGCTTACTAAATGTTATTGTTTCTACTCAGGTGTCCTTTCCTCAGGTCTTCCTCCACCGGTAAAGCTGGAAAGCCGCCACATGACCTATGAATTATTTGTGGGTTGTTGGTCCAAAATTTGTGTTAAGTTGGTCAATTCTTTGTGGTTCCTTGGGAAGCTAGTCTATAATTTTCAAGAAGTAGTCAATCATTTATTGGATATTAATCAAATGTTTGTAGGAAATGGATGAGTAATTTGTTGGAAACCTGTCAATTATTTGTGGGAGGTTGGTAAAAATTATATAAGGGAAGTTGGTGTATAATTTGTTGGAGGCTGGGGAAGTAACTTAGTCAGTAAATTATTTATGGGAAGATGGTGCATAATCAGTTGGAAAGTAAGTCAATCCTTTGTGGGAAGTTAGCTAATGGTTTTTCCTCATATGCCAGTCTTCATATGGCAGTCATATGAAACATATGAAAATAAAAATTTTTTTTTCGTTGGTCCACCATTTTCTTGTCTTTTTTATATTTATGAAAGAATAACTAGCAATAAGTTCATTTGACCATAATACACATGCCTATTTGTAAATTTGTTTTTAAATCATAAATTTATATTTTAACTATTTTCCTTTCCTACAAATTTGCTTGGACTAGATATGCATCCTTCTTATTTGTCAATGATGAGTCTGTGACAAAGGGGAGAGAACTACTACAACTTACGTATCAACAAAATTCATAATTACCCCCCTTAAAGCAGTGATTATCCTACTTATATAACAGACTCCGAAAAAGGGCCTCTTCCCAATTGAAATTTTCTTTAAAATCATGCAGTTTTCCCAAAAATCTCAACTTAAACCAGCTTTTTCACTTCCCAAATCAGTAATTTTAGCGATGATTTTTCCCAAAATCAAGTGGCTAGGGCCTCTTCCCAATTAAGTGAGAAAAATCACTGCGGCTTAAATGCCAAAGTACCAACAATAGACTGTAACAGCGAATTTTTTTCCTTATATAAGTGGTACCTCAACATTCACAATAATGAATGATCCTTCATAATTTTCAGACTGCGTCCAACAGACTGGTTCACAATTCTGGTGAAATACACAATCGTGACCAAGTTAGCCTAAAATTATGTGCCTCCTTACCTTATTTTTATTTATAATATAATAACGAATGATTTTTAACAACGCTGTCTGAATTATTATCATTACCAGATTATTTATAGATTTACACTTAGTTTTCAAAGATTTCTTCGAAGCTGTATGTATTACGATATTTCAAATATTTTCATATTATTATAGGATATTTATCAAAGGGTCGGTCAAATTATTTGAATATATTCCTATCGTAATTAAATTGTATGTCCCAATCAAGCACAACATAAGACACTGTTTTGTATCCAGTATGACTCTAAGACCGATAAATATATAATGTGAAACATCTTAAAAGAGCTGCTTTGGTAAACCAAAGTAGTCTCTTTGATTTGAGGGTGAAAATGAATAGAAAAGATAAGGGTGAATCTGAAAACATTTTGACTAAAATAACTATATATAAAGTAACTATATATAAATTCACAATTTAAAGAAAATAATTCACAATAAAACCCTTTTCACTATTCTCATGGTACAAGACCTCACAATTCAAGAAAAAAAAATCACTGGGAAATATAAACTTAAGTATATAATCTGAAATCACAAGTTAAGAACTAATCCTTTTAATATACTCACCATTTTGTGTGACAAAAGATTGCGCAATAAACCAAGTGTCTTCATGACTATGTTTGCATCAGGGTCAGACAGAAGCCTGAATAGTTGTTCCGTTCCAATAGCTTCAACAACTTGAGATTTTACTTTCTGCTCGACTTGAAATGTCATATTCTAAAAAATAAAATATTATGAAAGTGACACAGTAACTGTAAACTCTCTAAATTATCTGAAGGACAACTTTAGAGCACAGAAAGCCTTTGATGTTGCATTCCATGACATTTAATCACATTATTTGTATTTTTATGGCAAATAAAGAGCTGACAGGATGTTTGTTAAAGATCTATAGACTGATATAAATGCTGTATTGAAAAATAATGGTCATCTATCAGAACTTATATAGCTTAATTACATAGAGTAAGACAAGAAGGTATCATTATAAACTACACAACTTAAATATATAAGGTCAGTTGGCACAAAGAAAATGCAATGGCCGCTGTGGTGTAGTGGTCAGCATACTGAACCAGTAATCCAAGAGACCCAGGGTTCGAGAGCGGTGTGCTGATTTTCATGTGATTTTTCTGTGTAAATATATATATATATACACACAAAGAGAAAAATCACATGGGAAATCAGCATAATTATATATATAAGTTATAACAATGTTTAGGCATATAAAGCACAAATATGAAGGTGTCACACTCCATTCCACATCCGACAGATGATGTCACTTTATTACCAAGGAATGATACTGAGATGTGTAACATAGTCAAAACCTTTCTTTCTTTTTAGGTTGGGTTTTACGTCTCACCAACACAGTATAAGTGTTTCGGCGACTTTCCAGCTTTACTGGTGGAGGAAGACCTCAGATGCTCTGCTGTGCACTATTTCAGGCACTAACAGGCACTTCAGTAGAACCACTAATGTTGCATAGTTTCCTCACATGAAAGAATTCAAAGTCCCCGTCAGGATTTGAACCCACAGTGGTGAGGGACAAGTCGTTTGAAGTCAACAACCTTAACCACTAGCTTACGGACAACCCCACATAGGTGAAAAGAAAGTTAACCCAACAAAAAGCTCAGTAATACAGGATACAGCCTAATATATTATAGAACCCAGTGTACAGAACTATTTATAGATCTGATAAATTATCATACATCTTGTTGTAAAGGTAAAGTGGATGTAGCAGATAAGGTTAATCATGTTTGTTGTGTGTGGGAGTGGGAGCGGGGATAGGGGTATAATGGGGTGGGGGGAGGAGGGTATAATAATCTTTTATATATATAAATATGTACCATGAGTCCCCAGATTCCATTTAGACGTAACCCTGGATCAGGTCTACTAGTCAAGCCAACCAATATGTTGATGGCACCACAATCCAATATACACTGAAATAATAAAACAAATATAGAATAATATTTATCACAAGTGCTGCCAAAGGCTCGAATAATACCTTTTATTAAACTTGTTAAAAAAACTTACACTCATTCTTAGAATTCCATTTTCAAGAAAAAAATTCTTTGTAATAATAGATTTCACAACTGAAGATAGTAGCTGGGGGCTGAACATGCAGAAAAAATGTGTTGTAAAGATAGCAAAATGTTAACAAAGTAGCATTTTGACTTTAATACAAAATACTAAATCACTTTAATTATACTTACTGCCAAAGAGCAAAGGAAGCAAAAGATATTTTACCTATATGGCCAATGAGTAATGTTTTAGAAACTGATACCAACAATAAAAAGAACTATAAAGTACAGCTTTTCAGGCGGCTTGATGGGCCTTTATATAGTTTTATAGAAATTTACCTCTTTACTAGGTGAGAATTCCAGCAGTAAGTTACACATTGTTGATGTAGAAACTTGTAAAAGCTCCTCTGGACCTTCTTGTATTATCTGTAAATAAATTCATACAAAAAATAACTATTATTTAATTTTACCCATGAAATATGGTGCTATATCAGTCAAATATATTTCATATTTGTAAAAAGTAAATATGAAATATAAATATGAAAGTGGGCGGAGTCAAAACTCATATTATTTTAGGGAACTTCTTTTCGCCATTTTGTTTACAAAATCTGATAAATAACAACTTTTTGTTGAATTTTGATTTGAAAACTATCTAGAATTATAGAAAATGGTGTAACTAAAAAAATAAATCAATATCTATAATTCAGTCATGAACGCTGTACAGACGTTTAAAGAGTTGTTTACGTGACGTCACAATGTAGCGCTTAATATCGCGTGCAAAACAAGACAATAATTATATTACTGCGCGCTGTACATTCGCAGTTGCGTATCAAGCAAGAGGGTTCGTAACCATTTTTCTTTGATAATGAAATTAAATAAAAAGGTTATTTTTTCGTTTTTCGTGAAATATGGTGTATATTTTCACTCAACATGATAAAATGCCACTTATTTTTACTCGCCGTCCCGGCTTGTGAAAATATGTGGCAGTTTATCATGTTTCGTGAAAATATATTCCATATTTCACTCAAACAAAAAAATATCCTCTTATTATTATTTTGCACATTATAAAATATAAACCGATGAACTTTCAGTGCTTGAACTACGTTTTTCATTATCAATTATTGGTCAATCACCAGTATAATAGTTTTGAAATATATTACTTTTTCAACTCAACTTGAAAGCAAAAAAATAAGCATAATGTCACTTTAACTTATCAGCTAAGGAGGCCGAGTATCTGGTTGATGTTTAAATATATTTTAATACTATTAATATCAGTAAATCAGTGCTTCATATAATAAATTATACCTTCATAAGTGGTTTCCATACAGCATGGTCCTGAAACGTGGTTCTCAACAACTGAACTGATCGTGACAGACTATGTAAACATCGTATGGCGGCGGCCGCTACTTTCATATCACTGCTGTTCAGACCTGACACCACACAGTCCATTAAATTCTCAGTCTCAATAATCTAAATATAAAATAAAGTTGTTTATATCTGTAAATTAGGTTTGAATAGAAAAATACATAAATGTTAATAATGTTTGAATAGTAAAATACAAAAAGAAAACATTTGTTTGGTAATATAGATTTACTCTGGAATTGGACAAATGTGGATCCCTGGGTATAAACAAAGTCTAAGAGTTAACTTTGCAATTATATTAGATTATTTCAGGCACGAACAGGTATCTGAGTAGAATCTGAGTGTTCCGTAAGCTAGCTTGATAGCTTCCTAGCATGACAGAATCCAAAATCCCTGTCGGGATTCGTGCACACAGTGGTGAGGGGCAAGTGGTTTGAAGTCAACAACCTTAACAACTTTGGCCATGTCATCCCTGCATATCAAGATGAAAATGCCAAGTTTAGCCGCCAAAAATAATAGAGCATGGTATGAATGCATTGCTGGTTGGCCTGGCTCTATTTGGTGACAAATATAAATCACTGTCAATAGATGTTATTCCAGAACTCGGCAAATGTGGAATTTCCGAGCTAATCTGTAGGTACAAACAAACTTTTACCGTTATAGCTTCACGGTGCACTACCCGTCACAATAGATTAGTCAACCTGTTGAGCTTACTTTTGAAGCTGTAACTGTAAAAGTGTGTTTATACGGACAAATTAGATACGAAATCCCAAAAATATTCTTGATTGCGGAGTTAGTCTTTTCCAGTATGGTTACGATGGATATATGATATATCATACAAACATTACCTGTTTCCTAATATCTTCCTCGTTGGCTCCTATAGCTGCAAATGCTTTAAAAGCTGCTTGTTTCATCTCATTTCCCCAGTTTATATCCTGCAAGATAAATAAAACATTACTGAGTAAAAAACAACAGATTAACCACCATTCCCAATTCTTGCACATTGCTTAAATAGAGACAAGAAGAAAACAAGAGGGCCATGATGGCCCTGAGGTCGCTCACCTGTATATAGCCCCCCCCCCCCCCCCGGCCCAATTTTTACCCAAGGGCTTTTATTTGTTTATTTGAACAGACTTGGGAGACACCCATAAGAAGATGTTTCATGCAAAACATCCAAGTTCTAGCTCATTGTGTTTTTTAAAAGAAGATTTTTTAGAAGTTTTTACTATACACATATAGTTAAAAACAATGACACCCCTCGGGCAGGGCCAGTTTTGACCCCTGGGCTTTTATTTGAACAAACTTTGTAGATATTTACTTAAAGATGTTTCATGCTTAATATCTAAACTCTAGTTATTTGGGTTTTTTCAAAGAAGATTTTTAAGTTTTTGCTATGTATATAAGGAAAATCAATGACCCCCGGGGCGGGGCCAGTTTTGACCCCAGGGCCTTTTTTTGAACATACTTGGTAGACACCCATTAGAACATGTCTCATGCTAAATATCTTAGCTCTAGCTCTTTGGGTTCTTTAAAAGAAGATTTTTTAAGTTTTTACTATATGCATATAGGGAAATTAAATCAATGACCCCCGGGGCGGGGCCAATTTTGACCCCAGGGCTTTTATTTGAACAAACTTGGTAGACATTCACTAGAAGATGTTTCATGCCAAATATCTTAGCTCTAGTTCTTTGGGTTCTTTAAAAGAAGATTTTTTAAGTTTTTACTTTATGCATATAGGGAAAATCAATGACCCCCTGGGGCGGGGCCAATTTGGACCCCAGGGCTTTTATTTGAGCAAACTTGGTAGACATTCACTAGAAGATGTTTCAAGCCAAATATCTAAGCTCTTGCTCTTACAGTTCTTTAAAAGAAGATTTTTTAAGTTTTTACTATATGCATATAGGGAAAATCAATGACCCCCTGGGGCGGGGCCAATTTTGACCCCAGGGCTTTTATTTGAACAAACTTGGTAGACATTTACTAGAAGATGTTTTATGCCAAATATCTAAGCTCTAGCTCTTACGGTTCTTTAAAAGAAGATTTTTTAAGTTTTTACTATATGCATATAGGGAAAATCAATTACCCCCCAGGGCGGGGCCAATTTTGACCCCAGGGCTTTTATTTGAACAAACTTGGTAGACATTCACTAGAAGATGTTTCATGCCAAATATCTAAGCTCTAGCTCTTTGGGTTCTTTAAAAGAAGATTTTTTAAGTTTTTACTTTATGCATATAGGGAAAATCAATGACCCCCTGGGGCGGGGCCAATTTTGACCCCAGGGCTTTTATTTGAACAAACTTGGTAGACATTCACTAGAAGATGTTTCATGCCAAATATCTAAGCTCTAGCTCTTACAGTTCTTTAAAAGAAGATTTTTTAAGTTTTTACTATATGCATATAGGGAAAATCAATGACCCCCCGGGGCGGGGCCAATTTTGACCCCAGGGCTTTTATTTGAACAAACTTGGTAGACACTCACTAGAAGATGTTCCATGCCAAATATCTTAGCTCTAGCTCTTACAGTTCTTTAAAAGAAGATTTTATAAGTTTTTACTATATGCATATAGGGAAAATCAATGACCCCCTGGGGCGGGGCCAATTTTGACCCCAGGGCTTTTATTTGAACAAACTTGGTAAACACTCACTAGAAGATGTTCCATGCCAAATATCTTAGCTCTAGCTCTTACAGTTCTTTAAAAGAAGATTTTATAAGTTTTTACTATATGCATATAGGGAAAATCAATGACCCCCTGGGGCGGGGCCAATTTTGACCCCAGGGCTTTTATTTGAACAAACTTGGTAGACACTCATTAGATGATGTTTCATGCCAAATATCTAAGCTCTAGCTCTTAGGGTTGTTTAAAAGAAGATATTTAAAGATTTTTCTTTCGGTTGCCATGGCAACCAGAGTTCTGCATGGAATTAAATTCTTTGAACAATTTTTAAAGGTGACCACCAAAGGAACATTCCTGTGAAGTTTGGATGAAATTGGCTCAGTGGTTTATGAGGAGATGTCATTTAAAGCAAAAGTTTACGGACGGACGGACGACGGACGGACGGACGGACGGACGCCGGACGAAAAGCGATCACAAAAGCTCACCCTGTCACTTTGTGACAGGTGAGCTAAAAACAAATTAAAAGAGACATGGCCTCGTAAATGCAAGAATGAGTTTGATAGTAAAATCATGAAATCAAAGAATTGATGCATGAAATGTTTAGAATCATTTAATTTCTGCCAAGGGTACTGAAGATGATGTTTAGATAAATTTGTGCCTATTTTATTAGTATCTAAAAATCTCTGACAAAAGGTCATCTGTTACCTATCCCATCAATTACCAGAGTATCCATTACTAGAGGTTTAGGAGTCATTTTACTTCAGATTTTGGCTTGTGACTTCCAAATTATAATGCTTTTCCTTCTTTACCTATAAAATCTGACTTCCAAGGTGAGACATTTTCAGTCTCTGAGTTCCATTTTCTAGAACTTCAATGAAGCCCTGCATCAAGCTTTCAAGTTCTTGAAGGTCACACCGACCATGTAAAGGTCAATGTCACTGGGGGACAAAACTCACATTATTATGTGTTTTTCACTATAAAATTATTTAAAAGGTGAGAAAGGCATAATTAGACAAGATTTGTGAGAACAAATACCATTTGGTTATATGGCAAAACAATATTTCTGGTTTAAACTTAACTTAAAGAATATCTGAAATTTAAAGGCACAGCATGCCTCAGAAATCCATATTTATTAATTCTTTATGACTGTCAAACATATGTTTAAAATGTTTTAAAAGTGTATTAAACACATGTTAGATTGTTAAACAACTAAGGAAAGTAGTGCTGAATGTGCAGTAATGTGTGGTAAAGGTAGCAAAATGTAAACCAAGTAATATTTTAACTTCCATACAAAATATTAATTAAATTTAATGATACTAATTGTTACCAGAGCAACAGAAGCAAATGGACGGTTATCTTTATGGCAAAAAAAGTTTTCTTTTAGTAAACTGTAACAAAGTACAAACAAGAGGGCCATGATGGCCCTGAGGTCGCTCACCTGTATATAGGCCCCCCAACCCCCATCCCCCCCAACGTTGCAGGGCCAATTTAACCCAAGGGCTTTTATTTGCACAAACTTGGTAGATACCCATAAGAAGATGTTTCATGCTAAACATCTAAGCTCTAGCTCATTGGGCTTTTTAAAAATACACATATAGTTAAAAACAATGACACCCCTGGGGCCGGGTCAGTTTTGACCCCAGGGCTTTTATTTGAACAAACTTTGTAGACACTAATACTAGAAGATGTTTCATGCTTAATATCTAAACTCTAGCTATTTGGGTTTTTTCAAAGAAGATTTTAAGTTTTTGCTATACACATATAAAGAAAATCAATGACCCCCGGGGCGGGGCCAATTTTGACCCCAGGTCTCTTATTTGAACAAACTTTGTAGACACTCACTAAAAGATGTTTCATGCTTAATATCTTAACTCTAGCTATTTGGGTTTTTTCAAAGAAGATTTTTAAGTTTTTGCTATACACATATAAGGAAAATCAATGACCCCCGGGGCGGTGCCAATTTTGACCCCAGGGCTTTTATTTGAACAAACTTGGTAGACACCTATTAGAACATGTTTGAACATATCTTAGCCATAGCTCTTTGAGTTCTTTAAAAGAAGATTTTTTAAGTTTTTACTACAGTCCGACCCCGGTTATTCGACAACCCTTTATTCGAATACCCGGCATTATCCGAAGTAGATCGGCGGTCCCGTTTTTATCTCTACATAAAACAATATAAATACGAGGGTATTATTCAAAATGCATTATCCGAATACCTCCTATTTTTCGAAGTAAAATTTCGGTCCCGATTATACAATTATGAAAGAATTTCACACCTATTATTCGAAGCCAGTCTAATTATTATTCGAAGACCGACTAATTGGCGCAGATCCACTCGCTGACCAGTCGACTTGTGAAAAATATCCACAGTCATGCGTGTAATTAGACAATCATGATAATAACTCTTTGTGTGTTCTTTAATCAACTTTAATTACCGAAAATGAAAAGCTATGCACAATGTCCGATTTTGTTGAAGATGACAGCAATAATTTTTATACAATCCGTATATGTGAATTTGTCAAAACATGCAAAACATTTTTTCATTAATTGCAACGCTACATGAGAGCCTTAATTTATCCTATTCGAAAAGCTGTAAATACCGTAGTGACGACACGGCCGTTATCAAAGCTTTGCGCGAAACGAAACGATACATAATGTAAAATAAAATGCAAGTATTTATGTCTTCAATGTCAATACAATAATTTTTACGCATCTTTTCTTAAATATTTATTTTTCTCAATTGATTACAGGAAGCAAGTATGTTGTAAACGGTAGTTTTGCGATGATTGGTCAAAGTGGAGTAGTTTTCGTCTATCACAATATTTCGATTTCGATTATTCGAACCCATCGATTATTCGAAGTAAATATTCAGTCCCAGGCACTTCGAATAAACGGGGTTGGACTGTATATGCATATAGGGAAAATCAATGACCCCCCGGGGCGGGGCCAATTTTGACCCCAGGGCTTTTATTTGAACAAACTTGGTAGACACTTACTAGAAAATGTTTCATGCTAAATATCTTAACTCTAACTCTTTTGGTTCTTTAAAAGAAGATTTTTTAAGTTTTTACTATATGCATATAGGGAAAATCAATGACCCCCTGGGGCGGGGCCAATTTTGACCCCAGGGCTTTTATTTGAACAAACTTGGTAGACACCTATTAGAACATGTTTGATGCTCAATATCTTAGCCATAGCTCTTTGAGTTCTTTAAAAGAAGATTTTTTAAGTTTTTACTATATGCATATAGGGAAAATCAATGACCCCCTGGGGCGGGGCCAATTTTGACCCCAGGGCTTTTATTTGAACAAACTTGGTAGACACTCACTAGAAGATGTTTCATGCCAAATATCTAAGCTCTAGCTCTTATGGTTTTTTAAAAGAAGATATTTAAAGTTTTTTCTTTCGGTTGCCATGGCAACCAGAGTTCTGCATGGAATTAAATTCTTTGAACAATTTTTAAAGGTGACCACCAAAGGAACATTCCTGTGAAGTTTGGATGAAATTGGCTTAGTGGTTTATGAGGAGATGTCATTTAAAGTAAAAGTTTACGGACGGACGACGGACGGATGGACGGACGGACGGACGCCGGACGGACGCCGGACGAAAAGCGATCACAAAAGCTCACCCTGTCACTTTGTGACAGGTGAGCTAAAAAAAAGTTAAGGAAAATAAAATGATAGCATATCTGAGTCATAATGGGCCTTTAAGGTATATACATGTACTCATAAAATCACATTTTTCTGCTATAAATACCCCTGTGTGAGTGAAAAACGTTGCAATGCTTTTCAATTTTGTGTCATTTATCACAATTAGAATAATCATTCTGGAAAATTGGAGGGAGTGAAAGATCTGAAATTTGGCACACAAGTTATTGGTGTAAATCTGCACTAAATGGAACAGTAATCTCAATACAAATATTTCCACTTCCATCATTTCAAAAAAACTTACACTTTGTTTACCACTCCTAGTAATCTGCTGTACATCTGTATATTTCAGATACTCGGACAGCGTCTTGATAATATGTTCTGATATCGATGCCGTCCTCTGTAATCCGGCATCAACCTCAAGGAGGTACGCCAGTGTCTCCGCGCCCTCGACGTTCTCCTCCAGGGTTCGATCCTTACTACACATCCTGATCAAACATGGCAGTGTCTGAAAATGTAGATTTAGTAGCCTTTAGCCTGATGAATTTATAGACTGGTTTTATTAGCATAATTGGAACTGTCCATTATCAATTTTTGGTATAAAATGTTGGGTATTTATAGCCAACAGTTAAGAGCACAAACATGTACACTGACCTAGCTCCTTCAGTTTTTAACAATTAAAATTTGTTTATTAAAATAAAATAAAAAAAAAAGTGTATCACTCTATTAAAAGAAATTACTTCTACACAAGCAAAGGAAGTTCCTATAACTAATTCTGTTTCACTATTTGAAATGCATAAGTTTAATCCAACATTAATATAGACACTTATGAAGTTTTTCATTAAACAGGGCCAATGCCATTCATTACATATTGCTAGAATTTGTTCCACTGTGGAGAAATAATGATTCAAAGTAAATTTTGTTGAATGGTAGCCATTTTGTTCTTGAGTGGGTCAGAGCTGTTGACTGACTGTTGAAACACTGGGTCATAGTGTGGGTATTCCTATCCATTGAAAATTGCAACAGGTGAAATAAATTCACTATAAAAACATTCATGGAAAGAAAATGCTGCATGTTTACCATTTTCTTATTGAAATTGGTTGTAGTTGCTATAATAATTAAATCAAAGCCCTATCTTAGAACATGTAAACAAAATAAGAAAAGCATTGATGTAAAGCATCAAAGGGCGTCCAAGCAAGAAATGCAGCAACTGCATGAAGATGAACTATAGTAGACATATGATGACTAGATATTCTTATAAACTTTTCAAAGGTTAATTGGTTTTTTTCCAGAATTGTATATCATTTATGAATGGGCGGACAAAAGACATTGCTCATCATGAACTTTGGTAGGCATGCTAGAGATTAGAATTTTAAATGTTTTTTTTTTCCACAGGAACTTGAAATTCTTTCAATATTAACTATAATATCCAAAATATACAGGTCTATAATATCCAAAATATACCCCCTATATAATATAAGATTTTTTATACTATATAGGCGTATTTTTGGATTTTATCATTAATATTGGTTATTTGATAGAATTTTAAGTTCATGTGGTATTTTCTTTGGAACATAAAAAATAGCAGTCAAAATGAACAAAGTCTGCTAATTGATTTATTGGGAGGCCAATCTACTGTTTTAATGAATTACTTCAAAAAACCTCGTCTGACCCACAAGTGTGTTTACATTCCTATCAATAAACCCATAAAAACTCATGTTAAAATTGCAGATGATAAAATATTCGGCAAATTAATAATTATTTGAATATGTTTGCCTTTCATTCCTGCAAAATTCTACAGTTCGTTATTTATTACAATAGCGCCACACAAATTACAGATGACTACTTCTATAAATAGATTTTCGGACTTTCCCAATGTTAAGGTCATCATTCTATTTATAGGTTCAGCAATAACATACATAATAACCCACTGTGTGCTACAAAATGATTAATAAAAAGACCAAGAGCGCGATTATGATGGATAAGATAATTTCATTTGAATATGTTTGCATTGCGAAATTCTCCAGTTCGTTATTCATTGTACACATCGCAACATTTTAATTATCAAACACCCTCATGCCAAGCGGAATGATCGACTATTATGACCGACGAAAAGGCCCGAGAAGTTGCAATTGCCCTTTTACAAAATCTGATTTCATTCCATAAGGCGCTTCGGCGCGGACGCCAATAAAAATTACTTCAATAGTTCTAATAACTCATGAAATACAAATAACCTTAGCTCTGCTGTAAAAACAAAATAGATATTTCTGTAAATTTTAAATATTTACCTTCATGGCTATTTTATGATCTTGTGGGTCAATAGCACCACCTCGGCACATGTAGGCTAGCACTTTGGCAGCTAGAATTTGCATCTCTGAAGTCTTATCTCTATACAGTAACTGTACCAAAAGATTTGGGAATGGTTCTCCATTATGTGTGGCTGTATAGAGAAAATAACATTGAATTAGTTATTAATATACATGTCTGTCTGTTATACAGATTTTTGACACCTTTTTGGTTGGAGCCGGGTGTCAGTCAGTCCACCTGTCTAGCTTCACTGGGTAACTAACGAGTAATTACCAAATTCTCTGCAAGTGAGCAACTATTTATCACACATGATTTCTGACTCAGCAGTGAGAGACAAATGACCATTGGACTCAATGCAAGAAAATCAAATGTCAAGGAGAAATTTCTTACTTTAAAGTTTAGGATTAAACCAGTGATTTTGTATCAGCCTTAATGCAAAAGAAGTCAAGGTCACTGATTTTATATAGGGTTCCCTCTAGTACCACTGAAAGTTGATATCCTGCTAAAAACAAGTGAAGGCTAAAAGTACAACACTGGTTTTACCCTTATAATTCTTCCTAACTGTCCACTTTTGACATAAATATTCAACAGACTGAAACATTTGAGTTTAACTTCAACAGTAATGTATGGCTGAAAAAACTCTACATAACTTAAAAAGTGCCAGTTAGTGTAAATATAACTCCAAATCAAAATATATAGGTATCTCCTGACCTTTAACTATGTCTTAATTTCATTCATTTAAAGAGACTTAAACACATGCATGCATATAAATATAGTCCCTTAAACGCTCTTCTACCTGCCCCCTTTAAATGCATTCTATTCCCGTTACTTCTGCTCGGTCCCACGTAAGCTGATAAGGATCTTTTTGTCTTGTGCAAAACTTGCTTCTTGATCTATGACAGTTAACTAATGTCTTCACTCATTATTGTACATTAAAATGCAAAAATTAATAGTGCACATCATTTTATTGTTATCAATGTTGCTGACTAAAAAAACCAGATTCTAGATTAAATATCAAACTCTAACTTCACATAATTAGTTTATACAGAATTTATTTTAGTTTGATTGTGAAGGAAGCTTCAAGCTAACAGACACACTATTGAATCCGTTCCTGGAACCAACCAGTACTGAGCAATGAGTGTAAAGTTTCTTGCTCAAGGATACAATGACTTGCCCCTGACGGGGTTTGAACCCTTGCAGCTAGCAATCATTAGATTATTAGTCTGACATATTAACCACTCTGCCATGCCGCCACTTCACATGATTGTTGTTATTGTTGTCATAGTAACGTACCATTTGCAACAGTAGCGCTTGTCTCGTCGTTGTCCTTCACCAGCATGGCGAGACATTTCAACGTCGGCATTTGTACTTTATAAACGTTCCCGGCAATGAGTGACACGAGAGGAGGTACAATCTGACTCCGGCACAGTTTGTTCTGATGTTCTGTTGTCTAAAATTAAAGTGATTTTATGCTCATTTTTTTCGTTGTCGAGTTGAGTTGAACTGACTATATATTTAAAAAAAAATGACATTTTTTTTGGTTATTGACTAATAATTGATTTGAACTAGACTATAAACCTGAAAGCAATTATGGCAAAAGTTATTTTGACTTTATTCTGCATGGTGCTAAGAATATGCATTTGAAAGAAACTATTTTAGAAATACAGTCAAACCTGGCATGAGTTGGCTAGAATGTGGGTGATGCATTCCTGTGTACAGACCGACTGCGGCATTATGTTCACTAAATGAGGTATAACTGTAGGATCCTGTAAACAAGAAAAAACAATTGAAAAACTATTGCAGTATAAAACCTGCTACAAAACAAACTGGTTATTACATGAACCTGTTATTACAAAAACTTGTTATTGCACAAATCTCTTACTACAAAATTTTGCTTTCACAAAATCTTAGTTCATATTTAAAAGCCATATTTTGTGATATTAATATGAAATATTTTATATCATAACATGAAATAGTAAATCATATTTACATGAAACACTTTGCATAATTTACATGGAATACTTTATCATTTACATAAAAACATTGCAATATACACTGTAATATTTACTTGAAATACTTGAAAATTATATGAAACAGTAGAACACTTTGCTAGATTATTTTTAGTGCTTGATAGTAAAACAAGAGCCTGAATATTGTAAAATTTTCTAAGTTTATAAAAGGCCATAATTCTGTCAAAATCCATGTCAGAGTTACAGTCCTAGGACAGTGACCTCCTAATATAAGAATGTGAAGATTCAACCGATCCCTTTGATTGTTTCTGAGATACCAATTTACTTACTCACAAAAAAATTAACCAAAGTGAGACACCGGCGCCTATGGCTAGGCGAGTACAATAGCTCCCACTATTTGAACATCTTACTATTCTCCGAGCTAAAAATTACATTTGAGCCGCATCACGACAAAACCAACATAATGCATTTGCGACCAGCATGGATCCAGACCAGCCTGCGCATCCGCGCAGTCTGATCAGAATCCATGCTGTTCGCTATCAGTTTCTCCACTTGTAATAGAGTTGGTAAGCGATTAGCATGGATCCTGATCAGACTGCGCGGATGCGCAGGCTGGTCTGAATCCATGCTGGTTGCAAACGCATTATGTTGGTTTTGTCGTGTCACGGCTCATTTACTACGATCTAACCTGATAGATAAAGCTGACACAATTAGAGTTGCTCATGTAGATAGTCCTCAAACATCGTAAACAAGCCTCGACAAACGGAAGATTCGGGTTACTCAAACCTGTAATATAATTATAATACTGCTTATTTGTAACGTCACTTTTCATTAGATAATTGTGATGTTTATATAGTTTTATATACATGGCTGCTGTCAGTTTATGAAGAAATCACATTTTTTTTTCTTCTAAGAAGGAAGTTTACTGTATAATAAATTCATTATAAAGATTCCTGACAAGTTATATGGCTGTACATATTTGCAATACAATATAATTCTCACCTATCAGCTTGGGTTATCCATGTATCAATCTCCACGCAGTGATCTCCCCTTAATTCTTCGGCATAGATCTCTGCCACCAAGGTCCCGATATATCAGAATTTCTGATATACCATATTTTTTTCAAAAATTGTTTTATTTACTGCTTTTATCTATCAGTTAAGTTTTTTCTCTTTTCTTATGGATAAATAAATAAATAATATGAATATTTAGAAATAATTTTAAAATTATGAGAATATTTTCTACCGAGACAATATTTTGATATTTTATATTTTTTAGCTTTTGAATTTATTTTTTGTTATTTTGTACACTTTTGATAATTTTTTGATAAACTATATCGAACGTAGGCACTAAAAGTTAAAAATAAAACAGAAAGAGAAAAATGACGTTAGATTTTCTATGTAACGGTCGATATTTACATTTGAATTTCGACGTTACGTCATGTGACTTTCATCATCATGTGACGTCTTTGAAGGCAGTGATTACAATTCTGTCAAGGGAGGTAATCACTGTGAGGAGTTTGTCCATGTATATGCAAACAACCATTTATATAGTGCTATATTACATGTCGAAAATATTTATAACTAATAATAATCATGCCTCAACAAATTGCAGATTTGGGATACACATGACAGAACTCAAAGTCACTAGGACTGGAACCCATAACTATCAGGAGCAGGTGAATCAGTCAAAAAGTTTACAATTGGACCATAACAGATCAATTACCTATTCCTTGTAATTTTTCTTTAGTTCACTTTAATAAATGAATGTAGAGGTGGCACTGTGGTTAAATTCTCTACCACTAAACCCAGGATAGTGGGTAAGAGTCCAAGTAGTGTCCATGTTTCAAATTTTAAAGTGGAGTCTATATTCCAAGTATCAAAGTGGAGTCCATGTTTCAAATATGAAATACTGTTGAATTCTAAGAAGTAAACTGTTCTAAATAAACATCAGAATTTTACCAAATCAATATGAAATAACTATGTTTAAATGATTAGCTGCAAATGAACAGCCAATGTCTATTTTTAATTTCCATTCTGGCCCTGACTCTAACTAGTTAAATGACAAAACTTCTTTTTTGAGAGAAAGCCAGCTGATGTAAATTAAGTGGTGACCTTCCATAAGATTAACATCTCAGTTTTTTGTTCATCAGTAAAACTGGAAAGTCACTAAATGAGTTATACAAAAGAGTTATAATGTAAACTCCTTCATTTAGAATCACCCCAAACTACTCCTTCTTTTCCTGAAAAGCTATAACATAACTATAACTATAACAACCCTCCCCTCCAACCCCCCCCCCCCCAAAAAAAAAAAAAAAAAAAAAAAAAAATAAACTAATGATGAACAACAGAACCTTTGAATAGTACAGAGACACTGCCTTCTTCCACTAGTGTGTTTATATTGTCTACGGTGCCTTTAGCTATAGATCCCATCACAATAGCTGCATCTGTTCTTATCTGCTGGGGGGCATCTTCATCCACTAACCATTGTAATAACCTAGAAAACATAATATATATATGCTAATATATGTACATTAATTTTGTGGTAGATATCAGAGATCATCAAAAAATAATATTAAGGCACCAGTTTCCCCTCCATAGAGTAATGGCCTTTAAGTCCTTTATTGAGCTTTTGGTCTTCTTTGACATACTGGTACCGTATCTATGTAGATGTAAAATATTCTGAGCTAGTTATTCTTCAAGACTGCTACAGGACATACACACATTTATAATATACATGTAACTTGTAAGTTTTTGTCTAATGAAAGTACAGTCATTTTAAACAGAAACATGATCGATTTTTTTTATTCCAAAACTCATACTGATTCAAATTATGATGTCACAAAATGTAATGTTTCTATATCAATACCTTGTTTGCCTATTCATCAAGAAAAAGAGTTTCTTTACAATTGTACAATTTTACCCAATCAATTTAAGGGATACAATTTAAAACATGGCTCATTTGTGCAATCTTTCCCTATGTACTATATATCCATTAACATACCTTGGAACAGCCCCATGGTTGATAGCATTAGCTTTCTGCTTGTTATTTCCAATCACAGAATTCTTTATCCATCTATAATAATAACATTATAGGACAAAAATAATATATATTGTCTTCTAAACGCCCATTTTGTCAGGTAAGTAAACCAGTGTCAAGATCACAAACTAAAACTGGATGTATACTATATCTGCATGAATGCAGCTAGCTTACTGAACGTCAGTGGTTCCTAACTCAGGTGCCCGTTTGTGACTGAAATAATGCACGGATGGGCACCTGATGTCTTCCTTCACCTATACTGTGTTGGTACCACGTAACACCCTGCATAAACAATATAGATTACTTGTAAACTTTTTTTACTGTGTTATTCATAACATAAAGTGTTTACCGAGTTGGTTTTATTTTTAAATGGCATACTACATGTTAGTCATTTAATAATTTATTATTTTTTAAATAAATCTATCAGATTCTACCTAAGCTATAGCATGTACTCCTCATAAAAATTACAGTAAAAGCTTTTTCTAAGAATTAAATAAGTCTATGATTTCATTAAATAAGCAATTTATTTTTTTACAACTGATGGAGGGTAATCATTTTAACAATACATCTTAGACAGACTTTTGGCTATAAATAACATACACTGTCTACATGTGTATACTTACATTAAGGCCTCTTGCCATTTATCAGGCTCATCATTGTGCAAGGTATCATACCAGCCAGTCTGGCCATCTACCTCCTAAAATAAAATAAATACAGGTACCAAATTACATGTTTAACAATATGACAGCTTTGAATGACCAACTACTTACTGTATAAGTGGTTAATTTTGTATCATGGAAATATTTGCAATTTTTGTGAATTGAAATTATTCACAAACAATCAGTCACGCAAAAATTATTTCTTTTCAGACAAACTTTCTTCAATCATTTGAAAACACATTTTCATACAACATCTTACATGAATAAGTTTCAAGTACTGAGATTAATTTTTCTCATTGCTTATTTGGTCTTAGTATAGCAGATGTGAATTTTAACAAGTTATTAAATTCTTAACTTTTCATTATTTATCTTTTTTAAGACGTGACGGGTCTTTAAATCATTTATTGAATCCGACGTGGTGGGTCTTTAAAGTTTGTAAAGGTGAACTGTAATCAATATTTCCTACAGACTTTCTTTATTCTTGATTGGCTCTTTCGATTTGTCTTATCCAATCGGAACTTGCGTTTCAAGTGCTTGTGGTCACATGGTATAAAATTGTAGGAGAAGCTGCCATGTTTAACTTCAGTTCATGGTGTACCTCTACACCACAAGACATCATCTGTATTTGATATTTTAATCTTTAATCTTATTATTTTGGTGTAATGTATTATAAAGTTTATGGTTATAATGTTTGTATTGTTCTGGATTCATAGAGTAAGGATACAGTTATTAGCTTACAGTTAATTTAGTAATGTATAATGCTATTTGCATCTTTGATAACTAATATTGTATTTTGTATAATATTTGAATATTTGATATATGATATCTCTTTGATATCTTGTACATTTGATATCATTGATATCAAAAATGGTTAATTGATATTATTGATATCAAAAATGGTTAACACTTTTTGTTTAACTATTGCTTTATATCCAGACAGTATTATAAGGTTTTGTACAGTCTTATACAGTGGTATACAGACCCGTATGTAAATATTTGTATATAGTCTTTGAGTGGACCCACTGGTAAAATAAAGCAGAAATATCCGTGAACCATATCAAGCCTTGGTTTTAAGTAAACCCCCAATCTGCTAGATTAACAAATCACAAATGTTTTAATGAAATAATATATGTCTTAATAACACAAAAGGTTATTCATAACTCTGGGTAAAATCCATTCTCAGTTGTTGGAATTTGATTTCAGGTTTTCCCCCTTTTCTGGTTTATCATGGTATAATTTCCTTTTCAGAAAACAGCAGGTTGTTTTGAAAATTGAAAAATTAATCACTGCTCTGCAAAAGGAAAAAGGAATTGGGAGAAAATAGGCCACATTAACGTTGAATCTGAATTCTTGCATGCAAATACAACATGTAATTATTATTAATAAAAATATACAGACCAATACTCAGTAAATTACAGGTCTGAACATCACGCCATGGCCATCCCTTGTGTTATAGGTTACTCACAGCAACTTCAGACTATTATAAATTCACTTTCTTTTCTAGGGCAGTATACCATTGTACAACAACATATACTCAACATCACTAATTCCACGTCATCACTTATTTCACGGTAATGGCATATTTTCATGAGACCAAGGTTAAACTTGGTCAAAATTGACATATTTTATTCATACACCTAAACAACCAAGTTTTTGTGCAAAATATTTTAAATCTCTAGATTTTTACAACATTTTACAAATTTCTGCAAAAAAGCAACAATAGTCCATTAAATTTGTGTATACGTCTGAAACAATCATTATTTTCTAAATGTTCTTGTATGTTGAAAAATTAAATTTTGAGCTACAAGGTATAGTTTTAATATTTAAAATCAAGCAAAATGACATGTAGAAATTTAAACTGAAACATGACAAAACTTAAGTGTAACACCATTTATGGCGATTTAAATGATGACATACTGTTTTCTAAATGGCTGACACATGGTCTATGTCTGGTCCATTAGAATTGATTTTGATTGAATATACTGTTGTTACAGTAGAAAATACCTGTATGTCACAGCTTATGACAATTTTTGTACCATAAGTTAAATTTGTTATTTTCTTTCATGTTTCAAAATGTTAAGTACCGCGAACAAAGAGGAGCACAGTATACCCCCTGCAGTTGCTACCCAGAGCAGTTCAGTCCAGCCACAACTTGCAATGAACATATCCAACCCTTGTTTTCCAGCCCCCTGTTTTTTAAATCTTCAATATTCTTTTATCCTCTTTTAAAATAATTCTTTTAACCTTCTTGCGATTCTGACGTGCAGACATGTCTTTGTCCCCCTCGATGAGTGGTTCGACATTTGTGAAAGATAGAAAAAAATATGCACAGAGGACGAAATTGACATGTCATTCCGACAAAATAACTTTTGTTTTGGTTGTTAACCAGTTGAATAAGACGGAAGTATGAGAAACCGGAATAATATGTTTTATTTGTTCACATCATCCCAATTTTGTACGAACATCATTATATCCGAACATACCTACAGTTACATAAATAATAGACAAAATTCCGTACAATATAAACAAGTCAGGGTTAAACATTGCATCTGCATGCTATAAAATGATTTTTCTTTAAATAAAACAAATTACCATTGAAGAATATAGCATTGCAATTTAAAACGTAAAAATTCGTCTTCTCTTCTCCAAATATGATCTGAGTAAATGCGACGCTTGTATAAACAGGTTGTATGGTACTAAATATCGAGAGACAACTGATGGCCTCTGACAGCGACTGGACTGGAATTACTACAAATTTTAGTATATAATGCGGTACGTTACGATACCGAAATCAACTTGATTTCGGTAAAGTTACCGAAATCAACTTTTCATTACCGAAATCAACTTATAAAATCACAATTAAGCGTTTTATTATACTTTTTTCATTATAATATATTACAATAGGTTAAGTTTGACTTTCATGCAAAAAATCAGTTCGAAATAATCATTAATAATGATATAAGAAACATTAACTAAATATCAAGATTATTCCCTGATTTGTCACGAACCGAAATATATGTTACAATACCGAAATCGACTTGTAAAATCACAATTAAGCGTTCTATTATATTTTTTTCATTATAATCTATTACAATAGGTTTAGTTTGACTTTCATGCAAAAAATCAGTTCGAAATAATTAATAATTATGAAATTAGAAACAAATACCTATATATCAAGATTACTTCCCTGATTTGTCACGAACCGAAATATATGTTACCATACCGAAATCGGCTTGTAAAAGTTAAAATAAACATTTTCATAGATCTTGTTTAATTAATTAATATAAAATCATTCAAACTGAACCATAAACATAGGAAAATAATATTTAATTATAAAAAATGATGATGTTATAGACGGATATGTATATTATATCATGATTACTTCCCTTGTTGTTAATGTGTTGCATTACTGAAATCAAATCAGATTTCATTTCAAAGATGAAAACAACCCCTAAAATATTTGCATGAATTTCAGAAGTCTTGAGTGAGTTTTAAACCTGTATTGTTTCTATGTTATGTCAATGATATGAGTATTAGTATTAGCAAAAAATGTAAGCTTATTCTTTATGCAGATGATAGTGCAATTTTATATTCACATAAAGATCCAGATGTTATTTGTAATGTTTTGGGTAAGGAACTAGAAAATTGTAGTAAATGGCTTGTTGATAATAAGCTATCATTACATCTTGGTAAAACAGAATGTATTGTTTTTAGTTCTAAGAGGAAATTGTCAAAACTAGAGCAGTTTAAAATACACTGTAATAATCACACCATACAATCTCAGCCATCAGTAAAGTATCTCGGTTCTATCTTGGATAATGATCTCTCAGCCACTTCTATTGTTGATAATATAGTACAAAAAGTAAACTCTCGATTAAAATTTTTGTACAGACAAGGCAACAGTTTGAATATGGAGCTAAGAAAACTATTATGTAACTCTTTAATACAGTGTCACTTCGATTATGCCAGCTCATCTTGGTATAGTGGCCTTACTAAACAACTTAAACATAAACTTCAAGTAGCACAAAACAAAGTTGTTCGTTATATTCATGGTTATTCCTCTAGAAAATCATTGAAAGTTATTGATTTTAGCAGTATTGGGTGGCTTAATATAGAAAATAGAGTCATGCAGTTAAGACTTAATCATGTACACAAAATATTTAATAAAAAGTGTCCATCTTATATGTATGATAACTTTTCTTTAAAGTCTGATGTTCATTGTTATAATAGTAGAAACAGTGTCGGGAACTTTCATATACCCCATGTTAATAGTTTTACAAAAAGTACATTTTTTACCAGGGTATTAGGGATTGGAACATGCTCCCACTTGATATTAAAAAGGAAAGTAACTTTTTTAACTTTAAAAAGAAAGTAAAAGCTGAACTAAGCAAAAATATGAAACAATTTGAACAAGCTGATTTTATTTTTTATTAGTTTTAGAGATAATTGTTTTAATCAATATAGTATGTTTTATATGTTTCTTGTGATTGGTTTTGTGATATATATAAATAGATATCTTTCATTGGTGTGTTAACTAGTCATATTCATAGTATTATTCCTGCAAATATGTGATATATGTAATTAACATAATGTGCAATAGAAATTAATATTATTTGATCTTAGAAATTTAACATCAGTCCAGTATATCATCTCTAAGTATGGACCTGAATGCCAGTTCTCAAGAAAATATATTCTTTACCATCAAAGGACCCCATTGGAAATAAGTTCTCTATTTTATATTGAACTTTCATGGGTTATCCTGTGTTGTATATATTGTCTTGAAGTCAACAAGATCTTTGATTTAATTATGAATGTAAAGTTATTATTTTTCAATTAATTACTGTGTTAAAAACAATGTGATAGATATAACTGTGATAAATTGTCTTAATTTGTTTTTTTTTTGTAATATGACATATATATATATACACAAATAAATCAATCAATCAATCAATAAACTTTGAATTCATATCGCTTATTTTCAATGTTTAGTCAGATAACATTGCAGCGTATCATCTCTTTGAAGTTTCTTAATGATTTCAGGTTTTAGGTTATCCGCCTAATTTAGATCCCTATTAAAATAGTTGATTGGAAATTATCACAGTATTTAATTTAAATCCAATGATTATGATTTGATTAAAATAAAAAGACGTAGCGGTAGCCATTCATCATAACACCTTTACTAATAAGGAGCAAGCATACACGTGCTCGGACAATGGAGGTGTTAGTTGACATAATTAACATACTCGTTAACCGCAATCCTTTAATATACATCGGCGCATGGAAACTTTAAAGTATCCAAACAACATAATTAGACATAATCATTTTACATGAAATTAAAGCTGCTTGTCTCCATTAAGACAAAAAATACAAATACAAATATCTTTATTTCTCTCAGGTCAAGACATTGACAACATGAGGTAAATGAGGTAAATATTAACAAAGTTTCGAGGCTCAATAGAATGCATACAAAAAATATAAGCATATATAATACATGTAAAGGGAGAGTACCTTGGGTACTTTTAACATAGAAAGCATGTGCATGTAATAAATTTACACTTGTTATATGCATTTAATTTTCATTATATAAATTTTTCAACTATATCCCTAATAAACATACATATTTTTTTATATTCAAAATTACTATGGTTGTTTATATGCATAAGTTTATCAAAAGAATAAATGTTTCGTCTAATGTAATAATTGGGTCCTAAGTATTTTTTTCTTTGACGATCAAAATATTTACATTCTAGAAGGTAGTGAAATTCATCTCCAACTGAGGAATTACATAATGTACATTTTCTCATATTAAGTTCTATCTGGGACATAAGCTTATCTTATGTCCCAGGTTCTATCCCATGCCAAGATCCAGTTTCTACTGGTAATCTATGGTTTCTTGTTCTAAATTTAATCAGATATCTAAGTAAATTAGGATGTGTATTTGTGATATACTTTTCAAATTCGAATTTGTGTTTAAATAACTTGTAATTTTTACACTTTCCAGAAGTTTCTAAGTTTGAATACCAGCTGTTTAGAAACAGGTCTATTAGCTTTTGTTTAACTGTTGCGGTCAACCACTTTTGATTTGGAAAAAGATGTGTGTCCCAAATATTGTTCATGCCGCATTTGACGAGTATATCTCTAATACACATTATCCACATAAAATTATTGCTTTGCTGTGTATTTAAAAAATTACTACTATAAAGAGCAAAATAATACATTGTTTGCGTTAGTTTAAACGTCTTTGGGACAACTATATCTGCCCAAAAAGAAACTAATCTTGATTCTATATCTACTGAGAGCGGTGTTACACCTGTTTCACCATAAACTATTGTATTTGAGGTAGAAGATTTTAATCCTAAAATATATTTTAAAAACTTAAGTTGAACTCTTTCTATCATGTCAATGTTTCCATAACCCCAAATTTCACATCCATAGAGCAAAATTGGTTTAACAGTTTTATTGAACAAATCTATTTGGATGTCAATTGGTAAGTATAGTGATTTAGCCTTTTTTATTAAATTATACATTGCTATTGTTCCTTGTTTGGCTATATACTTTTTTGCATTTAAAAAAGATCCACTCCTACTAAAGATAATTCCAAGATATTTATATTCATTAACAATTTCGATATTTTCATTATTATAAGTGAAATTGTGTTGAACTTGTCTACCTCTTGCGAAAACCATAACTTTTGTTTTTGAAGTATTAAGAACCAATTTCCATTTATCACAATACGCTGCATAGACAAAATAACATAAGACAAAAAATACATAACAGTTGGGAGAAAAACATGTCATTGATCTCAATTTTATTTGATCAAATGTGTACATCAATAAAACATTTAGATATGATGAATTAATATGAATAATGTTATTAATAGTAAATTAATGGAGCATATCATTGTCTCAAACTTGATGACTTACAAATGTACTCTGATAAGTACAGTATCCTTAGGCACTACCAAAATGGTTTTCAGTCTAATTTGTGAAACTCAGTTGCTGAGTTTCTCCCAGTCATGTCAAAAGACAATTAGACTGACAACATCGTTATTGATTTCTCAAAAGCATTTGCCAAAGTTGACCATCACAAACTAGCCTACAAACTTGAGAATATGGATGTAACCAGCAAGTTTACATCAGGATCAAGTCATTTCTGAGCAAGCAGAGCCAAAGAATTGCGATTAAAGGTCATATCTCAAACGAATTAACAATGCTATATGCCATGGTGCCCATAGGGCTGAGTCATTGGATCTTGTTTGTTTCTGGCATATATATCTATTAATGACCTGCCAGAAACGGTCAAAAGTAAAAGAGGTAATTTGTGGTGACATTATAGTTCACATGACAATCAATAGGCAATCAGACGTGGACTTATTACAAAATGACCTTTAAGGCTTATTAAACTGGAAATGCAGGAATGGGGTTGTGCTATGATGCTCAACCCAGAAAAGTGTGAGGTGCTTAGGATGACCCGAAAAAGGAACCCGTCATAATAAATTACTTTATTGAATTATCATTATTACTGAAACAGCCAAGTGAAGTGCCTTGGAGTTATCATCTTTAAAGATCTAAACTTGGCCCAATACTAAAATAACATAGCATCCAAATAAAAAAAAAAACAACTCTTTTTAAAAGATTTATCCAAAGAAACATTAAAACCTAAAACAGATTAATCAAAACGTCA